ATATATTTAGACCTATTGATACATTTCCATTTGTTCTGAGTGCAAAGAACCGCATTGTAGAATTTGTGTTACTTAGTTCACGAGTTTGTATTCAAATTGCTTTTTGATTTTGAGATCATGGCCGTCAGACGGGGCATCATAAATGTTAAGTGAGAAACACGACATTTTCCGCCTTGTCCCTTACAGTTCTAACGAAAACTTTACTCGATAACATTCCTGTCAGCTGTAAACTCATTCAAACGCACTGAGACGTCCATTACCCCACGCCTCGGTGGAATCGTAGGTGTCGGAGCTCTCGAGGTCGAAGGCACGCCTGTCCACGTGATACGTTGTTTCACCTGTAGAGGACAGCAGGTACTACACCGCGAACAATATTACAGAAGGTAGGATGTGAGGTTCTCACGGCTGTCTTCTGGGTTGTAGCCTGGACGTTTCAGCGGTCCTTGCTGCCTCCACCATCAGGGTTATGACGGAGGCATAAACGTGTGAACTCACAATACGATGTTTAATTGGATCCGAGCCAACGAACACATTCAAAATGGCTGTTGCATCTGATGCCAAGACAACATATATTTATACACTTCCGGTATCGTCAATGATCAATTTTTTTGGGGGGCAAATATATCATTATCGCCGGAAATTATAGTTCTCCTACTCTTTGGCGATGCTTAGGAATATTTCGACTCGTGACAATAAAATATTAATTTGTGTCGGCGTGTGTCTGTGCACGCACGCACGCACACTTGGATTCGTGGAATGCGGATCCGTGTTAACACGATCTCAGCCGCCAATAATTCACCATCCGAACGAAACAGGTATCGCCTCCTTGTCTGAACCAGAGAATTGAATAATTATGCTAATGAACACTATCTTCACTGCGTACAATATGGCCATAATTTAGTCCTTTTTTGTTGTATTGATTTATATTTTGATGGGAAAGCTCGTAGAAACATAAATATTTATATGAAAATAATTTTCAATAGAGACAGCGGCAAGGGTCCATTCATCCGTCTGTCTGTGTTCCAGCGAACGAAGCAAGCGGTTGGTAAGGTCCAAACCTTTCTCTCTAATTTGAAATCTCGTCCCTTGCCGCTGGATTTGTTGGAAACGGAGTAAAACCTTTACAGCCTTTCAGTTTATGACGGAATGGAAACAGATGACGACCCGAGGGCTGAGTTATCCATCGCTTTGTCCATCCGTCGTGTCTACGAGCTAGGCCAACCTGTTATCGCAGTAAGTGCGAGAAAATCCACCAGGTGGTGTCAGGTACGGTTTCCGGCCGTGCAGTCGTGGCTAGTGGCGGTCCCTAACGACCACGCGACACACTATACCAAACAACTTCCTGTTTTCCGTTTGTATTTCACAAATTAAATTACAGATGAGTTATTTGAACGATTTTAATAAATCTGACAACAGTCAGGTCTAACCTCAAACAGCTAGAGCTTGCTTCAAAGGATTACAAACAAAATTCTACTTGCATTCAGGTGTTTTGTGGGTTTCGT